TATATATATATATATATATATATATGTATATATGTATGTATATATACGCAGTGAGGGAAATAAGTATTTGAACACCCTGCGACTTTGCAAGTTCTCCCACTTAGAAATCATGGAAGGGTCTGAAATTTTCATCTTAGGTGCATGTCCACTGTGAGAGACAGAATCTTAAAAAAAAAAAAATCTGGAAATCACAATGTATGATTTTTTTTTAAAATAATTTATTTGTGTGTTACTGCTGCAAATAAGTATTTGAACACCTGCTACTCATCAACAATTTTTGCCCTCAAAGACCTGTTAGTCCGCCTCTAAAAAGTCCACCTCCACTTATTATTCTAAATTAGAAGCACCTGTTTGATGTTGTTAGCTGCATAAAGACACCTGTCCACCCACACAATCTGTAAGACTCCAACTACTAACATGGCTAAGACCAAAGAGCTGTCCAAAGACACCAGAGACAAAATTGTAGACCTCCACAAGCTGGAAAGGGCTACGGGGCAATTGCCAAGCAGCTTAGTGAAAAAAGATCAACTGTTGGAGCAATTATTAGAAAATGGAAGAAGCTAAACATGACTGACAATCTCCATCAGACTGGGGCTACATGCAAGATCTCACCTTGTGGCGTATCATTGATCCTAAGAAAGGTGAGGAATCAGCCCAGAACTACACGGGAGGAGCTGGTCAATGACCTGAAGAGAGCTGGCACCACTGTTTCCATGGTTACTGTGGGTAATACACTAAGACGTCATAGTTTAAAGTCATGCATGGCACGGAAGGTTCCCCTGCTTAAATCAGCACACGTCCAGGCCTGTCTTGTTTACCCATGACCATTTCGATGATCCAGAGGAGTCATGGGAGAAAGTTATGTGGTCAGATGAGACCAAAATAGAACTTTTTGGTCTTAATTCTGCTCGCCGTGTTTGGAGGATGAAGAATGATGAGTACCATCCCAAAAAACACCATCCCTACTGTAAAGCATGGGGCGTTTTTCTGCACATGGGACAGGACGACTGCACTGTATTAAGGAGAGGATGACTGGGGCCATGTATTGTGAGATTTTTGGGAACAACCTCCTTCCCTCAAAGGAGGAGTGGCTCCGTAAGAAGCATATCAAGGTTCTGGAGTGGCCTAGCCTGTCTCCAGACCTAAACCCTAAAAAAATCTTTGGAGGGAACTCAAACTCCGGGTTTCTCAGCAACAGCCCAGAAACCTGGCTGATCTAGACAAGGTCTGTGTGGAGGAATGGGACAAAATCCCTGCTGCAGTGTGTGCAGACCTGGTGAAAAACTACAGGAAACGTTTGACCTCTGTAACTGCAAACAAAGGCTACTGTACCAAATATTAACATTGATTTTCACAGGGGTTCAAATTTGCAGCAGTAACACACAAATAAATTATTAAAAAAATCATGCATAGTGATTTCCAGATTTTTTTTTTTTTTTTAGATTATGTCTCTCACAGTGGACATGCACCTAAGATGAAAATTTCAGACCCCTCCATGATTTCAAAGTGGGAGGAATTGCAAAGTCGCAGGGTGTTCAAATACTTATTTTCCTCACTGTATATATATATATATATATATATATATATATATATATATATATATATATATATACAGACCCTTTCTAAAAAATTAGAATATCATGGAAAAGCTGTTTAACTTCCATAATTCCATTCAAAAAGTTTACCTTTAATAGATGACAGATTCAGGGCCCACAATTTAAACTATTTCAAATATTTACTTTATTTTTTTTATTTTTTTTGCGTAATTTGGACTTCCAGTTCATGAAACCCACGAAAACAGGAGTTCAAAAAATTAGAATGCTGTGGAGAAATCAGCCCAAATGTTGCAGGACATGAATGTTTTAAACTGAGTGTGACACACTAATCATCTACTAAGCTCAAAGCACCTGCACAGGTTTCCCCAGGTGTCAGTAAATTGCTTCAGTTTTGTTCAATTGTCTCAGTTTGGTTCAATATGGGGAAGACTGCAGACATAACTGGCCAGAAGACCATCATTGATACCCTCCATAGGATGGGTAAGCCACAAAAGTTCATAGCTAAGGAGGCTGGCTGTTCACAGAGTGCTGTGTCCAAACATATCAATGGAAAGTCTAGTGAAAAGCAAAATGTGCTGGAGAAGATACACCAGCAAAAGAGATGACCGTGGGCTTCAGCAGATTATCAAACAGAGAAGATTCCAGAATCTGTCAGAGATCCAGAAAGAAATTCTTCAGTTAATTCCTTGTTCCTATATTTTGCTTTTGTAAAAAGGGCTGTGGTAGCTCGGCCTATCAGTGCTGCGGTCTTGTAATCCTGAGGCTGTGAGTTTGAACACAGTTTGTTCCAGGAAGGGCATCTGGCGCAAAACGCTTTCCAAATTTTTTAATGGAGTTCACTCGCTGTGGCTTCCCCTGCAGAAGGGAGCAATAAAATAAAGAAAATCATCATATTTTTCTTTTGTACTGTTAGTCATTACTACATAAAATGGTTATTAAAATTATTATAATTTTAAGTAAAAAAACTATATACTGTATATTATTTTAAACATAATGAAAATTGTCAATGATCAGAAATGTTTTTAATGGGTCATTGTGTTGTTATGAGCCTTACAAAATCCTTCTGTGGTGAGATATTTATTAACACTCATTATGGGGGGTTATTCTTTCACTTGAAGCAGCTGCAGTTAATTATATTTACTGACAAGAAATGAACAGCTAATCTTGTTCAATTAAAAGACAATTTTAAAGGATTTAGGTGAATGTATGTACAGCATGTGACCTGAACCTGTCTGTATAATTTTGACTCATATTAAGTTCATGAATACTCACAATAAATTTGAATTTGTGCACTCAGCTCTTGTATTTAGAAATCATTGATCTTGTATGTTGTGTACTTATTCCTCTCTTAAAAATAACTGTTTTAATAAATTACTAAAAGCCCCAAATCAGTTTGTCATTCGTCCCTATGGCCAATGGATGTAAACTGACTGCAAATTAAATTTAGACTTTAATTGAAACATAATGTTTAGTCTTGAATTCTTTGTCAAAAACAGCTGGAAGTACATATTGTAGGTCATGTTGTAAGTGGGAAACCAGAAGCGTTGACTGTTTTACAGCTATGATTATACTGTAGTGCATAATTTCCCCCTTATGTATGATGTGCGTGTGCGTGTTTGTGTGTGTGTGTGTGTGTGTGTGTGTGTGTGTGTGTGTGTGTGTGT